GATCGAGAGACTTCCTCTGATCCTTGATCATCACGATAACAAACTCACGATCCCGGATCTCGATTCGATCTCCAACGGGAACACAGATTCCTCCGACGAATTAAAGCGCACGGCTCTAGCGGCGGCGAATAGATCGTACGCGCCGTACAGTTTGTGTCCATCGGGAGTTTCGCTGGTGGATTGCGACGGGAAAGTGTACAGAGGATGGTACATGGAATCGGCGGCATTTAACCCTAGTTTGGGGCCAGTACAGGCGGCGATGGTGGATTACGTGGCCAACGGAGGCGGAGGAGGTTACGAGAGAATCATCGGAGCTGTGCTTGTGGAGAAAGAAGACGCGGTGGTGCGGCAAGAGAATACGGCGAGGTTGCTTCTACAGACCATATCGCCGAAATGCGATTTCAATATCTTTCATTGCCGCTGACTTATCAAATTATCCAAACAATAAGGAACAATTCAGCGAATATTAAATTGGACTTTTTAATTCGTAATTATTTGGTTGCCCCAATTAAAAAAAAATAGTAATTATTGAAACTTGGAAGAAGTTGAAAGTGATGCCTCTGAATAAATGATAAACACATAGTAAGAGAATGAGAAAACTCTTTTTCTTCTTCTTCTTCTTTGGTATTTGTAATATGGATAATAAATTAATACAATAATTATGTTTTTACAGTGTAAATTGTTGTGTAATTAGTAAGAGCTGTCTACTAATGAACGATAAGATACAGACTTATTTGAATCTCTGAAGAAAAAAAATTTGTCATTTGTGAAGGTTTAATTACACATTGCAAAAGGCTAAAATGTACATATTGATTGATCACCATTACACTTAAATTTTATTGGAATAAATTTCCATCTGCAAAGTACGAAAGCAGAGAATATAGTGAAGATGGTCCACAAGCAACTCCTACTATGAGACGAGTGGTTAACAATAAATCTACGAATTTTAGATTAGCTAATGTTCATAATGGAATATTTCCGTAAAAAGAAATGAGTATACATTCGTATGAACCCTAAAAACCTCCTAATCTGTTGTTATTTTCAACTTTTAGCATTACGACATAAAAGCTAATCCTGAGATGACTTCTCTCAATTTGAGTATTTTAATAAGAGTCTAAACAGCTACGAGATTATTTGGTTGTATTTGTAAACATTCAGTTTAAGGATTTGCAGATATAGCTGCAACGTTTTAGTTAGTTAGGATATTAGCTGCAGATACAGCTGCAACGTTCTCTTTAAAATTTTGTTTGGACAAATCCACTTGCTAAGTATGACATAAGAGAATATAAGATGGTCCCATAAGCAATTCATGTAGTCATAGTTTGAGTGATGAATCTAAGCATAAGCATTGTAGATTATTTGAGATGAAAACACTTCCAAAAAGCAAGGAATACGAGTAAAGATCGATTGTACCTGTTACTATTTATAAGCTTTTTTTATTATTATAAATTTCTTTGTCTCATAAGGAAGATTCGTAAGGAAGAGTTTTGAGAAGATGTATATTTGCTTTAAAGACAAGAAAGTATAAATTAACATCAAAGTTTCTCGTCTTTTTTTTTAAAAAAATTAGATGGTGTTTTTTTCATAATTTTTTAAAAAACCAAAATAAAAAAATTAAAGAAATTAAACTAAAACCCAATTTTATAAACAGTTTCTTGCATATTTTTCTACAAAATCTTTTATGGTCAGACTTTGTGATGAAATAATCTTCAATCAAGGAAAGGGGAAGGAAAGTCAGAATGGGAGGTTAACAATCTCAATGTTGCTAATGTTGGGAGTTGGGGGAGAGTGAGTACTTTCAACTAACGCATAACGTATCATTGAATGTTGCCTTGAATGTTGCCTGTTGTGAATGTTGGAATTGTTTTTCTACAAAATCTTTTATTAAATATGAATTGATAACAAAGTCAACTTATTCAATTGTTTTTGACATTGTAGACCACAAATAATTTTTTATCAGTTTCAATTTCGAAATAAAATTTTAACAAAATTTTAAAATATAATTTCCCTAATAAATTACTAATTATTTTAAACTAAATTAATAACTTTTTTTAGCAAAAAAACCTATGAACATTACAAAAAGATATATAAATGTCGATATCTTTTAAAAAATGTACAATATTTGTTCATATATAACCTTTAATATGAAATTTTATTATTGTATTTTGCTAGCTCATGATTAGATCTTAAGGGCTAAATTGATGAGATATTTTTTTTTACAGAGATTGTGAGTTTTCCTACAAAAAAACATACATTCTTAATGATGCTTAGCTATCTATTTCCAATAATGTGGGCTTTGTTGGTGAAATCTGATTTGTGAAATTTGACCCTTACACACAATCTCCAACAGAGATAGTGTCTCAGCTAAAGTCTCCAGTTGACCAATAACCTAGAGTCTGAACACCAAAATGAGCTTGAGATCTTGGAAGAGAAGAATCATAAATTTAAAGAAAAGGTGAAGTTGAAGTTTGAAGAAGAGAAGATGAAGTTGGAAGGAAAAAGAGGGATTCTCTCTCCTCCTTTTCTCTCCCGAAAGTTTTAGATCTGAAATTATTTCTTCTTGTCGATGCCTTCATCTGCTCCGATCTCCTTCTCCGGCGCGCGTGGTGGCACACCGTCGCCGGAGGAGGGACCTAGCCCTGGGCATTCGGATACCCGATCGGGTTTGGATCGGGTTTTCCGGGTAATCGGATTTTCGGATTTGAACTTTATAAACCATTCGGTTATTTCAGAAAATTCGGTTCGGATCGGATCGGATCGGATTTAGCAAATAAAAACCGAAATAAACCGAAACAATTTGAAATCGGATAAATCGGGTTAGTTAAATCCGAAAAACCCGAAAACCCGAAAAAATTCTACAAAAACCGAAATTGCAATAACAAATAAAACTAAACAAAAATAGCAAAAAATGGATCAAACGTAACAATGCCTCACAATATTCAAACTCCAACCATCTTAGTTCATACTAAAAGATCAAACTCCAAACCATCTTAGTTCATACTTAGTTTAAAAATAAAAATCCAAACCATCAAAGTCCAAACCATCTTAGTTCATACTAAAAGGTCAAAATGACAAAGAGAATAAGCAGGAACTAAGATAGTGCATAACTCCAGCCTCCAAAAAGTGTGAACTTCATAGCAAATCAAATATGCATCTGAAACGACAAAACCGATCTCTAAATAAAATTAGAAACCAATACAAATGATATAACAAAACAAAACCAAATTCAATATTTTGATACTACTTACCCATTGTCGATTGTTGAAGTCATTAATAGGGTGAGATTCAATCTTCCACACTTATTGGATCATCAAACTCTAAACAAAGAATTAAGAGAAGTTGAAGTTAGAACAAGTGAAATGATATAAAAATATAAATAAACAAGCCAAAACCATAACATACCTCTCATAAGGTTGTCCAAAAATTCATATTCAGAAGCGATTTGCTCCACTGTAACCAAGCCACTTTCACTTTTACACCGAATTTCCTCCTTCATCCATTGCTCCGTACACATCAGCACCTCCACCATATAATGAGTAAGACAGCTTCGAGCTGGAGTTATGATGCGTCCACAAGTGCTAAAAGCACTCTCAGATGCCACAGAGGAGACCTGCATTGCCAAAACATCCTTTGCCATTTGGGAAAGTATAGGAAACCTGGAACAGTTTGTTCTCCACCAGTCAAGCACGTCATACTCAACACCAGGTAATGTGTTCGCGACCTCAACACCCTCCTTAAGATATTTATCTAACTCGTCCCTTGTATCATTGACTCTTGTTTCTGCAACCTTTGCTTTGTAGATAGAATCCATCCTCTCATATCCCAATCCCAAATCATCATCTATCACTTCCTCTCTTAAACCTTGTGAATGCTCTGATGATTGTGCCTGGTTAGACTGTGAGGACTGCGAGTTTGGAGTTGAAGAGAATCTAGAGGAGTACTCATCAAATAGTGCTCGCAGAACCACTAGGACTGAGGCATTGAGTTCTTGTGCGTCTTTGCTGTTCTCACCATATAGCCTCGCAAAACACATGTTAGCTAAATCCATTTTTTTTCTAGGATCCAATACTGATGCTATGATTAGCATTTTGTTTAAACCATTCATCCCATCCCAATACTTGTCGAACTTGAGCAGCATTGCGTCAGCCTTTGTTCTTATTTCTGCGTCTGCACTTGTGGTAAGGTTCATCAAGGTTTTCTCGATGGTGACTATTTCCCCATAGCATTTGTAAGAGTTCAGAGTGGTTGAAGCTGATACCTGAAGAGTAGACTCATAGAAGACGACTAAAAAACGGTTCAACCTCTCAACATTATCCCAGTCAATTACAGAAGGAGGTCCAACTATTACTTTCCCATCTTCTAACTCAGTAAAATGATCAAGATACAGCTTATCCTCTATGTCTGTACTTCGACGCCTTATGCAACATTATGTAAGTAGAATTCCACCTTGTTTTAACATCCAATGGCAAACTACCCCTTTTCAGCTTTCCAGAGTCTACTCTTAGTTCAAATGAACTCTGCCTAGTTGTTTTTGATCTAACATAACAGATAGCATTGCGAATTGCATTAACACTTGACTCTATTTTTTCAAACCATCTTGCACAATAAAATTAATGATATGAGCACAACACCTTACGTGGAAATAATCACCACCGAGCACAAATGCTTCCAGATTTCTTAACCCAAATTCCCTATGAAATCTACTTATAGCAGAACCGTTCGCTGTTGCATTGTCAACAGTGATGCTAAACACCTTATCTATTCCCCATTCAGCAAGACAGTCCAAGAGAACAGTTGATATAGTCTTACCTTTGTGATCAGTGACATGTTTAAAGCCGATGATGTACTTCTTTAGCCTCCAAAACATGTCCACAAAGTGAATAGTGATCACCATATAACTAGCCCCTGTTAAATAAAGAAAAAAATAAAGAAACCAGAGTTAACAAATAAAATACAAACATATAAATATAGTGGTAAAAATCCTAAACGAACACTAAAAGAAAAGAAACCAGACATCCATACCTGTAGGCTGAGCAACCTATATGTCAGTTGTTAGAGACACACGATGCTTGTTGGCTCTAATGACATCCCTCAATGCTTTTTTCTTAGCCACATACATCCCGCAAATGTTTCTGGTAGCAGTCCTCCGAGAGTGAGGGTCGTAGAGCCTGCATTTATCGCAGAAATGCTTCCAAGCTATGCTATCCACAAAGCTAAGTGGCAGCTCCGCAAGAACAATCATCTCATCTGTTGCTTCCCTAAAAACTTTCTCGGACACTTTTGCTACACCCAGGCCACCACCCTGATTCAGTACACTCTGAGTCTTGCCATTGCTTTGTTGTTGACCCTCTCTCCATGCGAGGAAATGCTTGCATATTCCAAGATGGTTCCTCAAATTTTTGGTCCCTGATGTTGTTGGACACCTATACAACCGCCGACAGTAGTTGCATATGCACCTGTCTCTGTCTTCTTTGGTCCTCGTGTAATGCTTCCACACATCAGACCTTGGATCAAGAAGCTTCATCTGCTTTGGTTGCTGAGAAGCAGAGCCTTCACCGGTTTGTTTTCTTTTTCCTCGACTCGCAGGTGTTTCAATATCATCATCATCAAGATCTTCATAAGGAACGTGAGTGT